TATTTTTTTGAGACAGGGTTTCACTATGCAGTTCAGACTGCCCTGAAACTCACTGTGTAGCCAAGGCTGATCTCCAACTCGCAGTGATCCTCCTGCCTCAGCCTCCTGACTGCTGGGATTACAGGCATGTGCCACCATGCCCATCTTTTTAGTTTTTATTTTTGGTACCAGGGATCGAACTCAGGTCCTTGCACTTGTGAGGCAGGTGGTAGAACCACTGAGCTAAATCCCTGGCCCTATAACTTTTTATTATTTTTTTTAAATTTATTCTTTTGGTACCGGGGATTGAACTCGGGTCCTTGTGCTTGCAAGGCAGGCCACCGAACCGCTGAGTTAAATCCCCGGCCCTAACTTTTTATTTTTTGAATAAAGGACCTAACACCTACAGCAAACTCCCTAAGAGCATGAGGCTGATTTTAATATATATATATATATATATATATATATATGAAGAACCAAAAAGTTAACACCAGGAAGTGCTTGAGAGTAGGATTCAGAAATCTATTTAAAATACCAGGAGCCTGACCTTTCTGCAGCGAGCCTCATCTGCCTTACCAGGAACCTCAGCTTTAAGGGTATCCCAAATCCTTACAATATCTCAGCTCTAGACAGGTCCAGATGGGAAAGAACAGGAAAGGATTCAGGAAGAATGGTATTTTTCAATCCCAGCCACTCAAGGGGATGTTATGAAACTTGATTCTTAATTTTTTCACCTAGAAAACAAAGACAATAAAAATCACCTTGTAATACTATTTCAAGGATTAGAGATAATGTATGCTTAAAAATAGTTATTCTATAACTCATTTGCCTATGAGATATTATTCATTTATTTATGCTAATGCTACAGAGATTCTACTGTACTTAACACAAAATACATTATTTGAAAATAACTATTTGGGCTGGGGTTTAGCTCAGAGGCACCGCACCTGCCTCACACGTGCAAGGTCCCTGCGTTCAATCCCTAGTACTGCCAAAAAAAAAAAAGAGTGAAAAACTATTTGCCTATGGGTGATCAGGATGGCTGAATACTGGAAGCAAGGAATTTGGTTCCCAACACTCTCCTTTCCTGTGTGTCCCAAGTCCACTTCATGTCAGTGCTATGGCATCTATCCCACGGCGGGAAGGCTAAAATGCCTAAGCTTACTTGGTTCCTATTTTAATACATTCATTTGCTTCCTCCCTCACCATTTTTTGGATGGGGTCTCATATATAGTTCAGGCTGGCACTGAACTCACTATGTGGCCCAGGATGGCCTCAAGCTCACAGTGACCCTCCTGCCTCAGTCTCCTGAGTGCTAAGGTTATAGGCGTGTGCCACACGCCCGGCTCCTTCTTTCCATTTCTTTCAGGAAGGCCAGGGATTTAGCTCAGTGGTTTGGTGGCCTGCCTTGCACGCGCAAGGACCCGAGTTCAATCCCCGGTACCAAAAAAACAAAAAAACAAACAAACAAACAAACAAAAAAAACATTTCTTTCAGGGTCAGTTAATAGACTGCAGAATTGCTGGTTCATTTTACTGATTTTCAAGCAAAAGCAGACTGGGAAGAATAGTATTTGTTTAGGAAGATAATAATAAGCCAGGTTGAATTTTACATTTCCAAACAAAGGCATGAAAAATCTTTAGTTCTTGAGAAATTTACCTCCAAACTGTCCATCCTCTATGTAGTCTACACTCAAGTAACAACCTTCCACCTGCTAGTTGCGACAAATGAGATTTCCAATATCATCTGAGGAAAGAAAACTGCGGGGGTTGGGGGTATACTAGGGATCGAACCTAGGGCCTTCTCACTGTGGTATATTCCCAACCATTTTTAACTTTTTTTTTTTTTTTAAATTTTGTGATAGGATCTCACTAAGCTGCCCAGGAGAGGCTTCAACTTGAGATCTTTCTGCCTTAGCCTGGAATTATATGCATATGCCAACACACCTGGCTCCCAGCCCACTTTTCTATTTTTTATTTTGAGACATTGCCTTGATAAGTTGTCCAGGCTGGCCTCAAACTTGTGATCCTCCTGCCTTAGCCTCCCAGAGTGCTGAGATTACAGGCAAGCCACACCATGTCTGGCAAGGAAAGGAAACCTTAATCACAAAAAGACAGCTCAACCCAGTAAACTACAGTCAAAAAGCAGGTACCTGGCAGGTAACTTTTGAACATGATAATAAATCATTTTAAATAAACCAAAACCACATTAAGGAGTCACGCTTAGCTATGGTAAGAGATCTACTTCTACAAGACCGCCATCACATCTCTCTGTAGAGATCCTGTACAGAGCTTCTTTGGTGCTTGTACAGTCCTTACCTGACAGTCAAAGTCCTGGAAGTTTCGTGTACCATTCTGTCAACAGAAGGCAGAAAACACAGTCAGTTTCCCCAAATGTGCAGCAAATTCAATTAACAGTGAAAGTGGTGCAGGTGTAATCTCTTGATTGCCGTAAAACTAAAATTGTTCTCAAAAGGCTTTAGAGGCAGAGTGGGTAATGGGCATGTTAGTACAGGCTACATGATCAGAAGTGAGATTATGCTTTGGTGGGCTTACTTTGAAAATAAAGGGGAGGAACCTAGTTTGTTAACAAAGCCTGTAACTTTATCTTTTCCTACCAAAGGAGAGCAGTGAAAATTTATGGGAAGAGGGTAAAATATGAATCAGTCTTACACATACCCCTAATGCACATAGTAAGCACCCAGGAGGAAAGGTACTTGAAGCCAACTCTGAAAGGGTAAAGAGGAACAGGAGCCAGGGTGCTGAGATCTGGGTCTAGAGAAAAGATATGGAAGAAGGCAGAGCCACATATGGCTCAGAAAAGACAGACATGAAATCTAAAATGAAGGAGGGAAAGAGGGACAGAAGAGGGCTCCTGATACACTGGCACATCTATGCAACTGGTGTGGTGACACACAAAAAAGACAAATGACTGCAGTACTTTTAAAGTGAACACAAAGCCTGGTGTGGTCGCATATGCCCCTAATCCCAACACTTAAAGGCTGATGCAGGAGGACTGCTGTGAGTATGAGGCAAGCATGGGCTACACAGTGAGACCAAATTCCTAAAAAAGGGATCGTAAAATAGCAATTTCTGCAAGAGTCTGACTTAAGGGCTGGCAATTTAGTCAATGGCGCTGCACCTGCCTGGCAAGTGCAAGGTCCTGAGTTTGAGTCCCACTACCAAAAACAAAAAGAGTATGACATAAAAATACAAAAAAGGTAAGGATCGATGTATTTAAGGAAAAAAAAAACCTTCTGACTTCAAGTATAAGGGTCTTCTGGAAAAAAATCCTCTCATTGTTTAGAAACTATTTTATCAAGACATGCTTACTGCCAGACATGGTGGCACATGGCGGGGAGGCTGAGGCAGGAAGATTACCATGAGTTTGAGGCCAGCCTCAGCTATATAGTTTGTTCAAGGCCAGCCTGAATTACAGAGCAAGACCCTGGCTCTAAATGAATGATGAATGCATGACATATTTACTGTTTTTTCCACAACAGCTTCCAGAAGGTGTGAAGATACTGATGAGCAACTTCCCAAGAGCTGTCCCTCCAGAGAAGCTCTAGGTATATCGGATCCTGAGAGAATACTACAGGACATTCCCTTCAAGAAAACTCCTAGGGCTGGAATTTAGCTCAGTGGCACCACACCTGCCTTGTAAGCACAAGGCCCTGAGTTTAAACCCTGGTACCAAAAAAAAAAAAAAAAAGAAAAAAAAAAAGAAAGAAAAGAAACTCTTAAGAAATACTTCTTCCTAACCCCCACCCTGCTAGAAGGACAAAATGCCTAGTACAAAAGCCCAAGGAATAGTCTTCCTCAGAACTAGTAAAACCAGCTGGCATTAATTGTACCATCCAGTGTGATTAGGTGTCAGTCACATGTACAATTTAAGTTTAAAAATCCAGTTTCTCTGTTGCATTAGCCACATCTGGCATGCTTATATATATATTTTTTGTTGTTGTTGTTGTTTTGTTTTGTTTTTTTGGAGACAGGGTCTCACTATGTAGTGAGACAGACCTGGAACTCACTATGTAGCTCAGGCTGGTCTCGAACTCACAGGGATCCTCCTGCCTCAGCCTCCCGAGTGCTGAGATTACAGCTGTGCGCCACCATGCCCGGCCTGGAATGCTCATATTATTGGCAGTGCAGTTAAAGAACACTTCTATTATTTATTTATTTTTTGAGACAAGGTCTCATTATATAGTTCAGGCTGACCGTGAACTCACTATGTAATCCAAGCTGGACTCAAACTTGCAGTAATCCTCCTGTCTCAGCCTCCTGGAATTATGGATTACAGGTGTGTGCCACCACCCCTAGCTGAACACTTCTATTTCTGCAGAAACTTCAATCAAAGAGCATGGATCTAAAGATCAAAAGCCTCTGAAAGAATACGGTTATAGGTAAGCAGCCCGCATTTTTCTAAAGGTGGCAGTAAAGTTACAATAGACTACCAATCATACAGAGACTGCAGATGCCACTGGGAACAAACAAGGCACTGGCAAAGATAGCTAGTCTAACGTATCATTCTTATTTTTAATTGTTTTGTGTTTCTGAGATAGGATCTATGTAGTTTAGGTTGACCTTGAATTTACTATGCAGTCCATGCTGGCCTCAAGGTGCAGCAATCCTCCTGCCTCAGCCTCCCAAGTGCTGTATTACAGGTATGTGCTATGATTCCCAGCTAAAATATCTTTATTTATTTATTTTTTTGGGGGGGTACCAGAGATTGAACTCGAGACCTTGAGCTTGCAAGGCAGGCAGCGGTACCACTGAGTTAAATTCCTGGCCCCTAAAGTATCATTCTTGACACAAAATTGAACTCACAGCTCTCAATCACAACTCTTAGTAGACAGGAAGATCATCTTGAGTTTGAGGCCAGCCTGGGTTATATAATGAGTTCAAGGCCAGCCTGAACTATGTAGCAAGACCCTATCTCAAAAAAGGAGGGGAAAAAAAACAAAACAAAAACTGAGTTCACAAAAATAAAATGTGGTACAGTCAAAGCATGGAAAAAAAAAAACTAAAACACCATGAAATGTCTGAGAAATTTTTCAGAGCAGTGATTGTGTTTAATTTCCAGTTAGACTATGAGAAACAGAAGGAAGAAAGGGCCCTCTCATGAGAGGACTAGGGTAATTAGTTTCAGTAGGACATAAATGACCACAGGTGAATTTCCAGTTCCTGGTTCAACTTGTACCTTTTTCCAAATATGGAACAGGGTCTGTTAAAATCAGGTGCTTTTTTTGTTGTTTTTTTGTTTTGTTTTTTGAGACAGGGTTTCACTTTACAGTTCAGGCTGGCCCTGAACTCACTATGTAGCTCAGGCTGACCTCGAACTCACAGTGATCCTCCTGCCTCTGCCTCCCAAGCGCTGGGATTATAGGCGTGAGCCACCACACCTGGCAATCAGGTGCTTGATATAGATTTCTTTTTTTTTGAGACAGGGTCTCACTATGTAGTTGAGACTGACCTGGAACTCACTATTTAGCCCAGGCTGGTCTCGAACTCACAGCGATCCTCCTGCCTCAGCCTCCCGAGTGCTGGGATTATAGGTGTGCACCACCACGCCTGGCCGATATAGATTTATTAAATGAAAAAACCAACATAAAAGAATTAAATGTTGAGGAATTTTGTTAAGACACTGGGCCAAAACCAAAACCTCTATTGAATTCTAGTTTTAGATATGTTAAATCAGGCATGGTGGTGCACACTTGTAATCCTAGCACTCTGAGAGGCTATGGAAGAAGGATCACAAATTTGATCCCAGCCTGGGCAAGTTAGTGACTTAGTGAAACACTGTCTCAAAATAAAAAATGGAATGGGGTGTAGCTTGTGTGAAGTCTCTAGGTTCAATCCTCAGTTAAAAAAAAAAAAAAGACGTGGTTACCAGGTGAAAAAAATAGGTCACAAAATGGTCGGGTTTTTTTGTTTTTTGTTTTTTTGGTACCAGGGATCAAACTAAGGACCTTGTGCTTGCCAGGCAGGCACAGCACCACTGAGCTACATTCTTGGTCCCACAAAATGGTCTTTAGAATTTGGTCTCAAGTACATCAAAATATGCATGAAAAAGGCTGGAAGAAAAATACTAAAAACATTAACACTAACAGTTATCTTGCACAAAGAAACTGACTATAATTATCTTTATACTTTTCTACCATGAGCACGTATTTCCCCTTCTATAATTAGGAAAAAAAAAGATTTGCTACAGTAATAAAAAATGTTTGCAACTTAACACTTTATGAGATTTAAAGATTCACATAATTTTTTGAGGAATGAGTTACAATGATGTTGAAACAGACCACATTAGGGCTTCAGTCTAATAGATTCCCAGAGGTTCCTTTAGACATTATTTTAGAAAGATTTAAAAAATAAATCACTCCAGCCTGAACTAAAATCTTGTTCATGGAATACAGAGTCACAAATTTTGATGAGCTCTTTGGGAAGCAGCTTTCACTTTATGCATGAATTCCTCTTCCTCAAAATCACATGATCATAGCCATGAGGCATTTTTTTGGGACAGAAGCCTCTGAAATGAGTGCAAAGGGAAATGCCAAAACCAGAAATAGGCAGTTCCTTTCACAAGGCAGCTATCTTGCGTCTCAAGTACCTAGCAAAAGACAGCTATGATGTGCCTAGGCAGACTCCCAGATAAGCCACTGATAACTGGGGGGAGGAGAGGAGTACATAACACTTCTTTTCTTGGCTCCCTTTTTTTTTTTTTTTAAACTTTTTGTGGATTTTTTTGTTTTTGTTTTTGGTCCTGGGGATTGAACTCAGGACCCTGTGCTTGCCAGGCAGGCGCAGTGCCATTGAGCTAAATCCCTAGTCCATTTTTTTTTTCTTTTTATTTGTTTGTTTGTTGGTACCGGGATTGAACTTGGGTCCTTGGGCTTGCGAGGCAGGTGGCAGGCACTGAGCTAAATCCCTGGCCCCCTTTTTTTTTGTTTTTAAAAAAGAGATGCCAGGCCCTCTTAGATCAACCTGGAAAAAGGATACAAGTAGGTCTGCTTGAGAATGTTTGGCATCTATCATTATTTAGTCCTAACTCAACTGTAGTTACCAAGGCCATATCCTCTACTCTTTCTAAAAATTCGCTACTCTTGCCTCACAAGCACAAGGTCCTGAGTTTGAGCCCCACTAGAATTAATAATAATAATAATAATAATAATAATAAAATTTTAAAAACTACTATTCATTGGGTGCATTTTGGGAAGATGAAGACTTCCTGCAGCCCCTGCCCTAGAAGCCTGTTTGTCTATGATGTTCAAGGTACATGGTTCCCCACTAATAAAACCAGAAATTATAAACTGTAGGTGCTTCTTCTTTCCCATATGTAGATACCATTAATGTCA